GTGAGCCGCCCAAGGTCACACAGCTACTAAGATGCAGAGACATCATCTTCAGCTCTGGTCGCCCATGTTCTTTCCACAATATGTTACCTCCTGAGGACCACATCCAACACTTCACAGGACTCCCCCCCATCCCGTCCCCCACTGCCCTATCCAGTTCCCCAATCCAACAGGCGCCTTCTACCGTCTGCAGATCAGAGCTCAAACATCTCAACCCGAAATCCGAAGCCCATTGGTGTCTGCCTAGTAATCCCTCACCGACCCCTAACTCCAGCCAAACCAACACTGAAAACCCTGAGCGAAGGGAGAGCCCCTTGTTGTACCAGCAAGTTTTAACAGGGGGAAATGATCACTTTGTGCCGCCTGCATTAACAAGGACTAGATTAAGTCAGCTGGACAGGTTCAAAATTAAAGTTGCCTGAATATAATAATAACTAGAGAGGCACTCTAATTAGTTTTTTTTTTTTTAATCAAGTGCAACAATCTGCTTGCAGGAATCTGAAAGCAACTCAGGGTGTCTTAACTCTTTGAGGAAGATGGGTTTCTAGAAACACCATGGCAAACCGTCTCACGCAGATTATCCCCTGCAGAGAGTCCCCAAAGCCCAGGTTTTATCACGGCCCAGGATGTGTGTGCCTGTCCCCTGCCTCACTGTACACCGGGGGCGGCCTGCCACACCCAGGGGCCCCAGGAAGGCAGGCTGCTTTAATCTCACTGGGAGCTGGACCAATCACGCCACCTCTGACCTGTTTCGTTTGTCAGGATTTAGAGATGGAATTAGCCTATCACTTTGTGTGCCCAGGGGAATTAGGAACAATGCTGTGAATCCTTTTACATGCTCCTCAATTAGAGGGCATTCCCTCCGTTTCCCAAAGAAAATCATCCCCAAACTGGAGTAGAGTTGTGATTATCTCCCTTTCGGGGGTTCTTAACTTGGAGTCCCTGCAGGGTCATATGGGAAGTCTCTGGGATTGTACAGAGCGTTTTGTGATGTCAGCTGAGCAGACCCTGCAGATGAGGAGATGGTAGGTGACTGCGGTCTTGGGGAATGCAGTGCCCCCCTCCCCCAGGAGGGACACTGGAGGAAGAGGAATGATTCTGGGGGGTGGTCCTCAGATTTCATCAGACTCCTAGAGGGGCCCAGGATCCCAAAAGAGTAAGCTCTTCCAAAGGCTCGATCCCTCCACTTACAGGTGGGAGAACTGAGGCCCAAACAGAGGGAGGCTCTCTGATGACTCCCTGGCAGAGCCAGACTGGCAGCCAG